GACTGCATCTCTCGCTTCCCAATTCCGCTTTCCCCAGAACATCGGCGAGCGCTTCTTGAATACTGCTACATCTATGCTATCTTCGCAGGGCTCGACTAATCGCAGCCTCAGCGAGCTGTCAGGCGTCATCTCCTCCGCCGCTTCGTCATTCTCATACTCCGATGCCGGGTCTTCGCGTATCAGTGACGCAGGCACAGACCAACTCTCCCCCGCCGACACTCATGATTTCGACACCACTACTATTACTATTGGTCATCCTTGGAACAACCTTCCCGAGCTTGTGCTCGTCCGCATCTTTGTCCTTGGCCCCGCCAAGGAGGGTTGGACGTACGTCGTCGGCGCGTCCCATGTCTGTCGCTCCTGGCGCGCCGCCGCCCTGCGCGAATGCAGTCTCTGGACCGTGATCCCGTTCCGCTCAACCCATGCGTCCTCTGCATTCCTCGCACGTACACATGCCGCAGACGCCACGCTCAGGTCACCCTTGACGCGATCCGTGGACTCATACTTTGCGAGTCTGCGTCCATACCTATCACGGCTGCGCGCCTTAACACTCGAGCTCGCAGAGCCGGATATGCGCGCGTTCTGCGACATGTGGCGCTCGTGGGGCACGGACCCCGGCGCAGTTCCACAGCTCACGACACTCGAGCTGTTACTCAAACACCAATGCGCGCTCGCAGTGCCCGTAGACGTGCTCCGCGGGCAGGACACCCTTGGCACGCTCCAGCTGCACAACTTCACCTTTGCCTACCTCCCCGCGCCGCTGCCCGCCCTGCACAAGCTCACCTACTCTGCCGACGCCTCCACCGACGACAGCGCGCCGCCCGTCTCGAGCGACCTTTTCCTCACCTTCCTATGCCGCTTTCCCGCGCTCGAGGAGCTGCACGTCCACCACATCGCCTTCGACATGCCCTCGGGCGCAATCAGCGGGCGGTACCCGTGCCTGCGGCGCGTGCACGCGATTGGGAGCCCCGCCAACGCGCTCGTGTCGCAGCTCGCGTTCCACAAGCCGGACCTCGCGCTGCACGTGTGGTGCGAGGCGGGCCCCGCAGACGACATGGCGAGCCTCGGGTGCGTGCTGGCGTGTGGGCTGGTGCTGAGCGCTGTGGAGGTCAGCGTGGGCGCGGATGCGGACGCGGATGGGGCTGTGCTGTGCAAGTTGCTTGGGAGCAACGATGCCGCGCAGAAGCTCGACATGTGCGTGCAGCGCGCCATTGCGAACGACGAGGAGTTCGAGGAGCGCATTCTCACGTCGATGTTGTGTGCGTATGCCGGTGGCGCGCGCACGCTCGAGCTGCGCGGGGTTGACCTGGGCAAGCTGCGCTGGCTGCTTGCGGAGCGGCTACAGCGTATGGATACGCTCGAGGAGCTGACACTTGATGGGTGTACATCGCTCGCCGTGCTGGAGGAAGCACTGCAGGCGCATGTCGCACAGGGCCGCCTGGCGGGGCTCAGGACGGTTTCTGTGCGGAACCGGGTTGGCGCTGAGGGCGGCCAGGAGCGGCGCGCGATTCGGCGGATGGCGAAGCGCTGGCCCGACGCAGCGACGCAGGGTCAGGATCTATGAGTATTTACTGGGTTATATGAGCTTTCACTATGATGTATGCCGTCGGTTATATGTGTCTTGTATAGTACAACAGTAATGACTGGACTGTATATAGGATACCCTACCACATATTGTAACTACTAGCATTTGTTCTTGTGGCATGGAATGTATAGCGTTGATTTTTGCTCTTCGAACTCGCTTGAGGCTTGGAGGGCTTGTTGAAGAGAGGTCTGAGCGCAGACGTCGTTACTGACTCAGCGCCCTATAGTGCTCTCCGCGGTCCGGTGGTCCCGCCCATACACTTTCCGCGCGTCCACCACCTCGACCTCGGACGCGTCTAAGCACAAAAAGTCGCCGGCGTATACCTACTCACACCTCAAAATACCACTTGAGACACAAAATGGACCCAGAATACGACTCCGACGTCTCCATCTACGACGACGAGCACCCCGACCGGCGCAACAAGGGAAAAGGCAAGGCCATCGACTCGCAGAAAGGCAAGGGCAAGGCGAAGGAGGTGCGTGCACGACCTGCCCAGCCGCTTCAGTGACGGTCTCACCACGAGATACAGCAACCATATGCCTGGGAGGCGTCGTATACGCGCTCATGGGACACCGTACAAGAGGACGAAGGCGGCAGCCTCACAGGTGCCGTGCAGGAGCTCATGGCGCGCGGGCGGCGGCGGCGGTACGTCTCCCTCCCCTCTTCTCTTAACTGTCTGACAAGCAAGCGCGTTTTAAGGCTGCTCGCGCCCGCTGCGGCGATCCGGCGCACGATCATCCGGCACCTGATCCTGCTTCTCGACCTCTCCGCGTCGATGTACGACCGCGACATGCGGCCGACGCGCTTCGACCTCGCGCTCGAGTACGCGCGCGAGTTCGTCGTCGAGTGGTTCGACCAGAACCCGCTCGGGCAGATCGGCGTCGTCGGCATGCGCGGCGGGATCGGGGAGCGCATCGGCGAGATGTCTGGTGCGTAGTGTGCGCTTTGTGGCCCACGCAGGCTGAGGCTGAATTGCAGGATTGGGATTTGGACAGGTAACCCGCAGGATGTGCTCAAGGCTCTCTCGGAGCGACATAAACTGGAGCCAGTCGGCGAGCCGAGTCTCCAAAATGCCATCGAAATGGCACGCAGCAGCATGAGGTGCGTGCGCGCCTTGTCATTCAATACTCTTTCGCTGCTGATAACTTCGCGTCGCAGCCATCTGCCCACACACTCCTCGCGCGAGATCCTGATCATCTTCGGCTCGCTGACGACGGTGGACCCGGGGAACATCGACGACACGCTCCAGGCGTGCGTCAAAGACCGCATCCGCATCTCCATCGTCGCGCTCGCCGCCGAGATGAAAATCTGCCGCGAGCTCTGCGACAAGACCGGTGGTACGCTTCCACTTCCCTCCCTCTCCCCATCACCCACTCACACGTACACGTATACACGTAGGCCAATTCGGCGTCGCCATGAACGAAGGGCATTTCAAAGACCTGCTCTTCGAGCTGATCCCGCCGCCCGCACAGCGCGCCGCGCGGGGCGCAGCGGCCGCGGACCTGATGCTCATGGGCTTCCCGACGCGCCTGCCGGACACGTCGCCGCCGAGCCTGTGCGCGTGCCACGCGGAGCTGCGCAGCGCGGGCTTCCTGTGCCCGCGCTGCGGCGCGAAGGTGTGCGACGTGCCGACGGACTGCGACGTGTGCGGGCTCATGATCGTGAGCTCGCCGCATCTGGCACGGAGCTATCACCATTTGTTCCCGGTGAAGCCGTATGTTGCTGTGTGCGTACTCGTTCGTGATTATCTTGCGTGCGCATGTTGATGGGTCATGGATAGGCTGACGCTGGGAGATGCGCCAAACCCTGCGCGCGCGTGCCATGCGTGCCAGCTCTCGTTCAAGCCGCAGGCTGCGGCGGGTGTGGGTGTGGCGGCTGCTGCGGACGGGATGAGCCCGCTGGGGAGGTATCGCTGTCCGGAGTGCAAGAATGACTTTTGTACGGACTGTGATGTGTTTGTGCACGATGTCGTGCATTGCTGCCCGGGCTGCGAGAAATGAAGATCTCTGGGCTCTCAGCGTTGCATTCTGCGTGAGTGCATGAAGGTATTCGGCGTCATCATGAGATGGGATAGGTAGGTCGAATGTAGTGGTACGTGGACTTCGAGCAGATGGAATTTGGTGACCATTCTGACTATGATAGAAAACAATGCTAGAATTACAGGTATGTAGATAGTCTTCGTACAAACATTGCGAACACATATTGATTGCTTTCTTTGATCAATCCCAGACGTCCATTCCCTCACCATCATCTCGAAGACGAAGCCGATATTTTAGCCACCCTCTCCGCCGCCTTCTTCGCAAACACCTCCTCCGGCTGGCCCGCGCCATTGATCAGATCCGCCGCCTCGTCGTCCTCCGCCTCGCGCCTCTTTACCTCCTCCACGCGGCGCGCGAACGCCTCCTCCGTCTCGTCCACCCTCCGCGTCAGCTCCTGGACCTTCGCGCCCGCCTTCTGCCGGCCCCACCCGAACCAGCCCCACGACGTCTTCTTCGCCGTCTCCAGCTTCTTCTCTGCACACACATGGCGATGAGCAAAAGCGACAAGCAAGGGCGCGCAGGTGGGGAAAGGAATCACGCACCAGCCTCACCCACGACCTCGCCCGCCTTGGCCTTGGCCCACTCGCGTTCCTCCTCGACGCGGCGGCGCGCCAGCTCGACCTTCTCGCGGCCCTCGTCGCGCACCTGCTCGTAGCGCCCGCGCACGCCCTCAAGCGCCTCCTCCGCGCGGCGCTTGCCCGCCTCGCTCGCGTCCTTCCCGGCCGCCTGCGCATCCCTCCCGGCCGCCTGCACATCCTTCCCGGCCGCCTGCAGCTTCTTCTCGCCCTCCTGGGCCTTCTTCTCAGCATGCTGCAGGTCAGGCGGGGTCGAAGATGGAGAAGGGGCATATTGGGTATAGTAGTACCAGATCCCGCCGGCGGCGGCGAGCGCGGCGGCGATGGACGCGACGGGGGCCGACTTGGGCTCGGTCGAGTCCGTCGTCGGTTTGGTGGGGTCCGGGATCTGCGACTGGTGCCGCTGCGCGGTGAGCGGGACGGCACGGGCGCGGGCGCGCATGGTCGCGGTGATGGGGGCGCGGTACATCGTGGTAGGTGTGGTAGGTGTGAGGGGCTGGTGGTATTGATGGTGGGATTTATTTGTGGAAGCACAGGTGGCAGGTGAGGGGGAGGGGCCTTTATGAGGCGCGCGGGTGCGGGTGGTGACGTCGTGCGGAGTGATGTCATGCCCCCTCTGCTTGGGCACACGTGGGCGCGAGCGAGCTCCTGCGCGGGTGTTGGTGTGATGGCAAGTTCATGGGGTGGGTGGTTTATTCGAATTCAGTCTGGTTGTGCTGGAGTACTTCAAGCGGCCGGGAGTTTGGAGGATTGGAGGAGTAATATAAGGGAGAAGTACTTACAGTGGACTACATGAATCATTCGGTTATGGTGTAATGGCTAACATTATCGCCTCTCATATCAACCATCAACTCGAGCGCGCGATAGCTCGGGGTTCGATTCCCCGTAGCCGAATAGTCTTGTTGAATCTTTTTTGGGCAAGGTATGTCAAGCACGTCGTCGCATCACAAACCTGCGCATGTTTATATGTGTGAGCACAGCACATCATGCTGCAAGACTGAACCTGCACGCAAATGCGACCAGCATTCTTCTCTCAGACGTCGACCCGTTCTTCGGAAACATCCGAAAGGCAACTCGCGACCGCGGTCAATCGCAACTCGAACCCCAGCGCTCCGCCTTTCTTCTCGCTCTCGCACTCAGCTGCGCCACCCAATCATACTAGCTCACCATTCACGATGAACACACACGCGCAATCGCAGTCGAGCACGAGCGCGACGCAGGCGAAGGAGCGGCATTACGCGCAGCTCGCGAGCAGCCTGACGCGCCTCTCGCGCGCGGTCGGGCAGACGGCGGACCTGTTCGAGCAGCTGCAGGTCGATCTCGATTCGATGCGCATCCTGGCGGGTGCGCACGCGGCACAGTGAGTGTCTCTACGCGACTTTGGTCTGTGTGGGGATGCTGAGCGGTGGCAGGTTCATGACGGTCGCGACGGAGCTGGTGCCGAATGCTGACGCCGAGGGCGGGGCGGAAAAGGAAAAGGCGTAGGCGAAGGATGGATGGGATGTGGAGAATGTGGTACTGGGAGGAGAGGACGGGTCGCCGAGGCGTGCGCGTGCGCACCGAGAGCCATTTATCCCCGCAAGCTCAGGCTACCGCCGCTCCCGATGCCCGAAGTGGGTGCGCCGGCGCTTGCTCATGAAAGAGGTCGACGCAAGCCAACGTTTCGGGGCCAGCTTCGAGTGGGGGTCGGATATTGTCATGTGCTAGGAGGTACGGCAGCGGTAAACGTAGAGGCAGAGACACACACGCCCGTGAAAACGATACGAGAAGCGTCCCCCTATCCACGCGGGTTTATTTGTAGAATTTGTAGAGGAATTTGTAGTGATGGCAAGGGTATGATCCAGACTGTGATCCATGTCAGCATCCGCGGCGAACAGGAGCTTGCATGGGCACGGGCGGCAGCAGCAGCAACAATTGAGGAGAGCGGCAGGCGGGCCGGGGACGTAGAGCGGCGATAATCACATGGGACGGATGAAACTAGAGTCTCGTGATTGGCAGTCCCTATAAGACGCCAGACCGCCCCAGCCTCCCCGACGACTCTCATCATCCGTCTCTCCTCCTCCCACCACCTCTCACACACACAAATGGCCCAAGTTATCGTCGTCGGTGGTGGTCTCGCTGGCCTCTCGGCCGCGCACACGCTCCTCGAGCGCGGCGCGAACGTCCTGCTCCTGGACAAACAGGGGTATGTCTCGTATACCCCTCCGTGTGATCCTAAACTCAACCCGCCCGCGCTACAGCTTCATGGGCGGAAACTCGACCAAGGCGACGTCTGGTATTAACGGTGCGGGGACCCAGGCGCAGCAGGAGCTTGGCATCCACGACTCGGCCAAGATCTTCTTCGAGGACACCAAGAAGTCCGCCCGCGAGCTCGCCCGCGACGACCTCATCCGCGTGCTCACCGGCCGCTCCGGCGATGCCGTGAACTGGCTGCAGGACAAGTTCCAGCTCGACCTGTCCAAGGTCGCCCGCCTCGGCGGCCACTCGCAGCCCCGCACGCACCGTGGTGATGCCCAGTTCCCCGGAATGGTGAGTGTCTTTCTACGGTTCTACCTGCGCACCTGCTCACACAGCAACTCCAGGTCATGACCTACGCCCAGATGGAGCGTCTCGAAGATCTCGCCGTCTCGAACCCCGAGCGCGTCAAGATCATCAAAAAGGCACGTGTCGTCAAGCTCGTCAAGGACGCGTCTGGTGCCGTCACCGGCGTCGAGTATGAGCACAAGGGCAAGACCGAGTCCGCAACCGGCCCCGTCATCCTCGCCACGGGCGGCTACGCCGCCGACTTCTCCGCGGACTCGCTCCTCAAGAAGTACCGCCCCGAGTACTACAACCTCCCCACCACCAACGGCGACCACTGCACGGGCGACGGCCAGAAGCTCGCGCTCTCCATCGGCGGCAGCGCCATCGACCTCGAGAAGGTCCAGGTGCACCCGACGGGTCTTGTTGACCCCAAGGACCCCGAGGCGAAGGTCAAGTTCCTTGCTGCTGAGGCGCTCCGCGGTGTCGGCGGTCTCTTGCTCGATAACGAGGGCAAGCGTTTCGTCGATGAGCTCCAGCACCGTGACTATGTCACCGGCAAGATGTGGGAGAACGGCAAGGTATGTCGCTTCTCCTGATTTGAACGGTCGTTTTCTGACGTGCCCGCAGTACCCCATCCGCCTTGTTCTCAACGGCGCTGCCTCGAAGGAGATCGAGTGGCACGTCAAGCACTACACTGGCCGTGGCCTTATGAAGCACTTCCCCAACGGCGATGCGCTCGCAAAGGAGATGGGCCTCAAGCCCGAGGTCCTCAAGAAGACATTCGAGGACTACAACGTCGCCGTCCGCACCAAGAAGGACCCCTTTGGCAAGAAGGTATGTCGCCCCCCACGCACGCGCATCTCGTACCCCACTCACTCGCCTCCCAGTTCTTCAACGGCGAGTGGAAGTACGACGACGTGTTCAACGTCGCGATCATGACGCCCGTGCTGCACTACACGATGGGCGGCGTGCAGATCGACGACGAGTCGCGCGTGATCTCGACCGAGGGCAAGCCGATCCCGGGCCTCTTCGCCGCGGGCGAGGTCGCGGGCGGCGTGCACGGCGCGAACCGGCTCGGCGGCAGCTCGCTGCTCGGCTGCGTCGTCTTTGGGCGCGTGTCGGGCGACAGCGCCGCCGCGTACCTCCTGCAGCGCTCCGGCAAGATTGCAGAGCAGGCCGCGAGCCGCCTCGGCGCCGTCGCGGGGCACCTCGAGGCGCCCGCACCCGCACCCGCTGCGTCGTCTTCATCCGCACCCGCCGCATCTGCACCTGCACCGGCAGCCAAGGCGGGCGGCGCGAACGCGTACACGCTCGAGGAGGTCGCGAAGCACAACAAGAAGGACGACGTGTGGGTGATCGTGGACGGGCAGGTGCTCGACGTCACCTCGTTCCTGCCGGACCACCCCGGCGGCGAGAAGGCGATCCTGCTCTACGCGGGGCGCGACGCGACGGAGGAGTTCAATATGCTGCACGACCCCAAGGTCATCCCGCGGTATGCGCCGGACGCGGTGATTGGGACTGTGAAGAAGTAAGGAGTAGGCTGAGGTGCGCTATGAGGTGAGGTAGCAGGGGAGGAGGGGAGAGGGGGGAGGGGGCGCTGTCGCATATTCATACTATAGCTACTCCAATCGGCTTGCTATTGCTACTATCACGATCACGCATTGTTTCTCGGTTAACCTCTTTTTTTTGCATACCATCGATATCTGGCGTTGGAATCTGGTGGATGTTGTAATATATATATTTAATCCCTTCTCGAGCTCGTTTGTTTGTGGGTGCGGGTATGTAGGGAGCAGGATGGTATAATCAATGCGACGGAAGAGTCTCAGGTGTGTTCACTGGGGAAAGTCAAAAATATCAGACAGCGTTTATGTTGCGGAAAGAGACCAATTCCGCCATCTGTCCGCCACATAACCGCCAAATCTGCTGTTGGCGGTTATTCGGCGGAAAGCTCCTTATTCCGCTCCATTTCCGCTGCGTTTATGTCCGAATTGGGTTCCTGCGGCCCGGTCGATACCCTGTACCAGATCGCGTCGCCTGATGTGTAGTCCCCCCAAACAAACTGTATTCTACGCTATCCTTTCGACCTATGTACAAACACTGATACTTTATCAAACATGCAAACCTCATACCCTTTCAAACATCTTTCTGAGCCACCAAATCCCCATGTATTTCCACCGACAACACCCCTGCAAGTGTGATGAGTACGTGTAAGCGCTAGCGGGAGCACCGTGTATATGCCGCTCACCTTTCTGGCTTGTCGTTGATGGTCAGAGCCTTGATGAGCCAATGCAAAGGAGGTCGTGCGGGCAGGAAACCTATAATCAGAAGGGAGGTAGTCGGTATCACTGGAGCAGAGAGCAAGAGAACGAGACATACGATGTCGCGTCTTCTCATCTGGAGTGCCCGAAGTAGAAATCGAAAGCGCGTCAACGCGTCGGACGCCGAAGTTAGGTTTCAGTAACTCACCGCATCTTTCGTCGCGCAGTGTTGTTGGAAGAGCGAAGGGAAGGGCGTCGTCTGGGGTGTAGGAGACACTGGGGAGGTGGAGGGAGGAGAGAAGGGGGGCAAGAGGAATGTCGACCAAGTCGCGTCGCTATAAGTGATACGGAGCAAGGACGGATGACGTCACGGAGTTGACGTCCTCTTTCGGTAGATTTGTCCAAATCCGGCCTGAAAGGGCGGAAAGGGCGCGGTTCTTGTGCCGATAACTTGCGCAGCGGAAAGACGGCGGTTATGTAGCGGATGAAGGCCATATTCGCACCATAATCGCTGTCTGATATTTTAGAGTTTCCCCAGTGGTTGGGAGGGCGAGTTGAGTCGCTGGGTTGCGGCCGGGTGCGCGGCCCGGAGTGTTATCTTATCAGCCTCTCGCCCGACTCTAACGACTGCTTCGAGCTCATCGCCGATTCCTCCACTGATTACCACTGACCCACCTCGTCAAACTCTCCCCAGTACTAGTCATCCCACCGGTAGGTAGGTAATGTACCATTCGCAATCCGTCGAGTCAGCCAACTTGAAGCGCTAACCACTAATCTCTGCGCACATGCACATGTATCCTTACTAGTTCACAGGCGATTCGGATCGCGAGAGGTACATATAAGCACCCACACAGGCTCGCGTGCACGAGCAGATCTCCTTGAACACGCAGAAGGGCTCCCTCGCGACAATGTCCACCCCACCCGCACCCGTACCTCCACCGGCGCACACGCCCTCCCCGAGCCCGCTCCCCGTGCTCAACGCCGATGGCAGTATCCCCGCGGCGGACGATGCTGCGGCGCGTGTGAGGACGCGCGTTGTGCTTGTTGGAATTGGGTGCGTGCTTGCTTCTCCTGGTGTTCAGATTCCCGCTTCCTTGCGTCTCTGCGCCTTTG